GGAGATCACCACAGACCTGGGCAAGCACCAGCACATGCATGACCGCGACGACCTCTATGCCGAGCAGGTGAGATGTGGGGCCGGGGTAGGCTGCGATGGGGGGGGGCAGCCTCCAGGCTGACCTTGCCGCCCCTGCAGATTGAGTGCCAGATGATGGGGGACTGGGCTGAGGGGTCTCTGTCCCTAGGAGGCTGTGCTGACACTGCAGCTGGAGAGCGAGGGGGTACGTTAGTGGGCTCCTCTCCCTAGGAGCCTGGCTGATGTCCCTGTGCCCCACGCAGATGGAGGCGAGGGGGTAGGTGGGGGGGCTCGAGAAGGGGGGGGTCTCTCCCCGGGAGCCTGGCTGATGTCCCTGTGCCCCATGCAGATGGAGCGCGAGATGAGGCACAAGCTGAAAACGGCCTTTAAGAATTTCATCGAGAAGGTGGAGGCTCTGACCAAGGAGGAGCTGGAGTTCGAGGTGCCCTTTCGGGACCTGGGGTAAGGGGAAGAACTAGGGCATCAAGGTGCTCTTCCAGCACCCCTAGGGATGGGGGGAGCAGGGGCATGGCGGGTGCCCTTCCAGGACCTGTCGGGAAGTAAGGGCGTGGAGGGTGCCCTTGCGGGACCTTTGGGAGGGATCAGGGACATGGAGGTGCCCTTCCAGGACCTGGGGGTTTGTGGCCCTGGGCCCCATGGACAGTCTGTGACACAAGATGCCCACCAGGGGCTCTGTCTGCCCCCTCGCCCCTCCCCCCCACGCTGGGTCTGGCTCTCACTGACCTGGGCTTTGCTCTCTCTGGCAGGTTCAATGGCGCCCCCTACAGAAGCACCTGCCTGCTCCAGCCGACCAGCAGTGCCCTGGTGAATTGCACTGAGTGGGTGAGTGTCCATGGGGGACCTGTTTGTGCCCCCATCCCAGTCCCTGCCCTCCTCAGCGCCTGGCACAAACCTGTGTCCCAAGGGACCTGCCTGGGTGTTTATGGGGGTGGGCGGAGCTCAGGGCAAGCGCTGGCACTGTAGGGTGGGAAGGGATGGGGTGCAGCTCCGTCCCCTGTGATTACTGGCCCCATTGGCAGGGGGTCTCTGTCCCAGGGCTGGTGAGAGGCTCTCTATTCTGGGCCTGACCCCACCCTTCCCCTCCAGCCTCCGTTCGTGGTGACGCTGGACGAGGTGGAGCTCATTCATTTTGAGCGAGTCCAGTTCCACCTGAAGAACTTTGACATGGTCATCGTCTACAAGGACTACAGCAAGAAAGTGACCATGATCAATGCCATCCCTGTGGCCTCCCTCGACCCCATCAAGGAGTGGCTCAAGTGAGTGACCCCATCGTCCCCCTCCCCTATACCTACCTCATCAGGATACCGATCCCCCACCATACCTACCAATTCCATCTACTGGTGGGTCCCACTGAGGAGTGACACCCCCCCAATCCCTCCACTGAGACCTACTTCACCAGGATCTTGATCCCCCCGCTCCCCCTAATCCCAGTTCCCAGCCTCCTCACTGTACCCACCAACGTCATCAAATGGGGGGTCCCCACCGAGGATTCCCCCTGCCCCCGGGCCGCCTCTCCCGGTGCCTATCCCACACACACCAGGACTCTGATTTAAATCAAGGGAATTTAAATCACCAGTTTTTAATCATGATTGAAATCAATTTTTAATCGTATTTTGCATTCATACTTTTTAGGGTTTTTTCCCCTAAAGAAAGGTTGATTCTCATTGGCTAGTAACCATTAAACAAGTTGATCTGCAACTTGAATACAGCCTTTACACTACATTTAGTTCTTTTTGCTACCCAGGAGGACATACTAGCTATATTTATACACAGTTATTTAAGCAATGATAGCAATTTACATGTCATTCAGATTCTTAATTTTACATTTTTTATTCTGTGAGAAATTGGTGACTGATCCATATCTTGAAGATGATTTTTTACTTCTAGTTAATGTCAGGCTCTGTTTGGATAGAAATTCAAATTCAATTTAAAAATGCACAAAACCATTGTAAAATGCTTTTTTATTAGTTAAATAAACTGTCTTAATGTGCTGGATACATGCAAAAAAAATATATCAAAGTTTATCTAAACGTGTTTTGCATTTAAAACCAATTAAGCAAAGGAAGCTTTTCCAATTCCCAGTAGGTTTTTCAACTTTGAAAACTAGTCATTGAACTGAATTTTGAATGCACTGAAATGAAGAAAATATTCTCTCTGCACTTGCAGAAGAGGCTACTGCTATAAAACGTCTGTTAGGCCTTCAACAACCTCGGGCTCCAAGTGCTTGACCAGCTACTTTCACCAGTTCAGTGGTTTAACTTTCCTTAAAAGTTGGTAGCAAACATTTACTGATTAAAAAATATTAAATTTAATGTAAATAAATTATAGTAAATTTAGGCCTTAACATAGGTTGTCGTAATTTTAAATAGCTTTATTTTTTTAAAAAAAGTAAACCTGTTTAGTTTTACATAAAATAAATCCTATTTAAATAAAAAATCTGACTTTATTTATTTTAAATCATCAATTTTTATCCATTCTGGAGCCTCCTGATACCATCCCCCCAGTCCCCTCATCCCCAGGACCCGATACTGATCTCTCCTTTCTCCCTAGCTCTTGTGACCTGAAGTACACTGAGGGGGTGCAGTCCCTCAACTGGACCAAAATCATGAAGACGATTGTGGATGACCCTGAGGGCTTCTTCGAGCAGGGGGGTTGGTCGTTCCTGGAGCCCGAGGGAGAGGTATGGGGGGAGAGGGGACTCTGACTCCCCTGGAGGGTGGGTGGGGGCTCTCTCGCAAAGGGGAGGGGTCCCTGCAAAGGGATGGTAGTTGGGGGGGATTCTTTTGATTTCCTCTGGACATCCCAGTATCTGAGCCCAATGAACATTAATTAATCTGATCTTACTCCCACTTCTCTCTGCCCCCCATGACTTATGGGAATCACTGAAGATCACCCAATGAATCAGTGACAACTGGAGATAGAACCCAGGAGTCCTGATTCCTGACTGGAATCTCTCCCCAGGGCAGTGATGCCGAGGTCGGGGAGTCAGAGTCAGAGATCGAGGATGAGACATTTAACCCGTCGGAGGATGAGTATGAGGAGGAGGAAGAGGACAGCGATGAAGATTACTCCTCTGAGGCCGAGGAATCTGGTGAGGAGGCCCCTGCAGCTTAGGCCAGGAGTGGAGGGGTTCTTGGCACTAGCCTCTGCACTGGGGGTCTGACCCTGAGGGGTCACCTGGCAGAGTACTCAACTGCTGGGCAGCAGGAGTCACCCCTACCCCCCTTCTCCTGGGAGCCCTCCCTTCTCCACACACAGCCTGATTTCCCCTCCCACCTGTTCTCCCATTCCGAGGGGTGGGGTGAGGTGGGGATGGGACCCTTGTCGTTCCAGTATAGGGGGACAGTTCCCCCCCATTGGACAGAGGGTTGAGCTGGGGGGTGGGGTTGCACACTGGACATCGTCTGAGCTCGTGTCTCCATTTGCAGATTACTCCAAGGAATCCATGGGCAGTGAGGAGGAGAGTGGGAAGGACTGGGACGAGCTGGAGGAAGAGGCCAGGAAAGGTGAGTGCCAGCCCTTGAGACATCTCGCCAAATGCACACCAGGGCCATGGGATCTGGGTTTCCTTGTGGCACGCTGTTCACTCTGACCCCTAATGGGTATGGTGGGAGGGGACAGAGCCCTGCCCCTCCTATTGCCTTTCAGTAGGACAGGAGAGCTGGTAGTGGATGGTGTTGGTAAGGATAGGTACCCAGCCTCTCACCCGTCCAGCAGTTGGGTGGATGGAGGAGGGTGGGTTACACAGCCATGCCCTGACCCCCGTCTTACTCCCCTAGCGGACCGGGAGAGCCGGTACGAGGAAGAGGAGGAGCAGAGCCGCAGCCTGAGCAGGAAGAGGAAGGGCCCAGCCCACAGTTCCAGCCGCCGCAGTTCCCACAGCCGCAGCCCAGGCCGCAGCTCGGGCCCCCCCAAGAAGAAGAGGAAGTAGGCAGTGAACTCTGACCCTCCCCAGTGGCAAGCCTGGGGCACCAGACCCTGCTCAACAGCCAATCCCAGGGTTGGGGGGGGGCACCATGCCTCACCCACAAACTTTTGTCTTTTCCTGTTTTCAATTTTCCCCATTTTGTTTCTTGAGTTTTTCTGGCCATTTGTACGGACCAATCAGCTGTGAGAATTCCAGGCCCCGCCTGCCTGTAACCATGGACATGAGCACTGCCAATGAAGAGGACTCTCGGAGTAAGGACGCTGATGTCAGTGATGTGCTCCCCACACCCCCTTCACTCCCTCCTGGGGTCCCTCCTTAGTCACCCCCACATTCCCCTGTGAGGCGTAGGCATGGCCATGGCGCAGGCTGGTGCTTTCTCCCCCCAGGGAGTATCTGGTGATGGAATCATCCCCTCCTTCCCAACAGCTCTGGGGAGACACAGCCAGCGCAGAGGATCTCTGAGTGTCTTGGACTTCGTCCTCAGGGTGCTGGTAACCAAGTCTGGGGTGAGACTGCGCAAGGTTGGCGCCTACAGGTCCATCCCATCCCTACTGCTGCCTTCCTCAGCATTGGAGGGGTTGGGAGTGGCCCAGCCCTGCCGGGAGCAGGGTGCATGTGGGGGGAGTGGTCTAGCCCTGAGAAGATCCAGCTTCTTGTTTTTTACTCGCCTGGCTCTGTCCCGTATTTATCTCGTTTCCTCAGTTGCCAAGTCAAGCCTCTGGCAGGAGAGATGCTTTTGTTTTGGGGGGTTTTATCGTGTCATCTCCCATGGCCCCCATCACCTGCCCTTGCTGGTGAGGAAGGCCACTGGGAGGTGATGGAGCAGGGGAGGGCTCTAATTTTTTTTCATAGCCAATAGCTCTTGGATTTTCGACTTTGGAGAATTGAAACAATAAAATGTTTTTTTGTAAGTTCACCTTTTCCAGGTGCTGAGTCTGTTCAGTCAGCGGGGATGGGACGCTGGTCACCTATTGCCGTTTGTATTACGGTAGCACCTGGGAGCCCAGGCATGTCCCAGGACCCCCTTGTGCTAGGCTCTGTATAGACAGAGCAGGGACAGGCCAGGCGCTGCCCCGAGGCGCTCACAGTCTGAGTCATGTGCTGACTGCTCAGGCGGGGTGACATCCTTCACCAGTGAGCTTTGAGGTGGGGGGAGGTCCCCCTTTGAACCTTACTGTGCCAAGTCCTTGCATGCCTTGTGGGAGCTGATGGGTCCTTCATTCCTCCTCCTCAGCCTTTCGTCTCCCTTCCCAATAGATGGCGCAGAGGGCAGCAGCTGCTTCCACAGAGACCTTCAGCCTCCCGATGGCAGAGCGGTCCTGAGGGCTGACAACTGCCGGGAGTGGGTAAGAGAGCAGAGGTGAGGGGAAGGGTCCGTGTTTCTCCAGGGCCATTCTCTGGCTGGGCCTGGTGTAGGACTTGCCTCCCCCAGCCCTGGGAAGGGACAGGACTTGCACTGCTGCAGCTCCCAGGACCTGGAGGGCGGTTGGCTCCCGGGTATAGATCCCAGCTCAGTGGCCAGGCCCCTGGCCCCCTTTCATGCAGGTGGTGTGCAGGGGCACAGGAGACGGCTCATTCGGGTGCTGCTGGCTCCGTCACTCACCATCGAGGTCATGCTCCAGCACATCGTTGCCTGTCAGCAGGATCTCACGCAGGTCTATGTAGGCAAAGCCCACGTCCTCACACTCGCCTCCTGTCCCAGGCAGGGGCTCGCTCACCACCACGAACTGCAGCCTGCAAGGGGGGGCAGTGGGTCTGGATCCTGCACCTGCAGCCAGCCCATCTTAGCCTGGCTCCCCATAGAAAAGCCAAGTTGAAGGGCTCGTGGGCCAGGGCGCAGGGGATCTCAAGGAGCCAAAACCTCAGGGAGGAGGGCTGTGCCTGCCAGCTTTGCTGCTCTGGCCCAGGGAACCTTCTGGGGAAGTGTACAGCTTGTCTGCGGGAGACAGAGCTGCCTAGGGAGGGGGCACGCTGGGCCTGTGTGAAACAAACGCCTCCAAGAGCTAAGGACCATCACAGACCAACCGGCACGTTCCTGTGAGCTGCCTTCTCTAACCTACAGCGCATGTTCTTATATAACACACACGTGCTGCAAGCCCTCCCCTGCACATGCTCCACCCAGGGCCGATAGTGGTCGCAGTGTTCAGGCGCTTACAGGAACATGCTCTGTAAGACCCTGTACGGGGATGGGGAAGGGACTGGAATCCTGTCCCCAGCCAGGCTGCTCACCAGCTCTGCCCTGCCTCCTCTGCCTGCAGCATGGAGAAGAGGATTTCCCGCTGGCTGCTCACCCCCTCCGGGTCCAGCTGAATCACTGTGGTGGGGGCACAAGGCTGTTAGCCAGGGTGATGCTCAGTTGGGGGGGGCAAGGGGAGGAGTCAGGGTGATGCTCACTGAAGGGTGGGGGGATACCAAGGGGAGGAGTCTGGGCGATGCTCACTGAAGGGTGGGGGGGCACCAAGGGGAGGAGTCAGGGCGATGCTCTGGGGGGCACCAAGGGAAGGAGTCAGGGCGATGCTCTGGGGGGCACCAAGGGAAGGAGTCAGGGCGACAAGCTGATGCTCACCTGGGGTCAGAGGGTGACAGTCAACCCATCTTCAAGTTCCCCCATGTTGCTCTGGTTCCCAAGCTGTTAGTGGTCCAGCCCCCAGTGCCACCTTCTCCCTGTTGGGAGGGAGCCCACTGGGGCGGGCATGGGCCATGCTGCTCAGCACCCCATGGAGTGGTGCCGCATGAGCTGGGACGGTGGGGCCTTTGCCAGCTTGCACTGTCAGTGGGGGAGCTGAGTCCCTGGGAGGGGGCTGGGGAAAGGGGCACTATTAAACCAGTCATGGCCTCCCTTTCCCATCAACAGCGCTTCTGGGCCTGGAGTGATCCACTGTACAGCTGGCGTAAAGGACTAGCTATGAGCCTTGTCCTGGGGCGGGGGGAGATGCTTTTCCTCTCTCCACCCATTTGTCCCCACAAGGCATGAGACTCCTGCCCTGCCTCGTCGGGGGGGGGGGAGGCTGTGGGATGGGCGAGAGCCAGACCCTCCCCACGGCAGCTCACCCTTGCTGAAGTGGAAGTAGATCTCCTCGCCGCCCTGGGGCTTGCGCAGGGACAGGGGGGTCTCCGTCAGGGGCACCCCTGGGAAGTGGTACTCCACGTACAGCTGCTGGATGTGCTCACTGGCCATGGCCTCAGCCTCAGGGTGCAGACTCAGAGAGACAATCTCAATGTGGATCCGCTCCACGTCCTGACAGGATGAGGTGAGAGCAGGTCATACAGGGCCTGAGAGGGCGGGAAGCAGTGCCCCAAACTCTTGTGGGGGGAGCGGGAGGGGAGGCTGGCCAAGCCAAGCTCCCATCGGAACCCAGAAGGGCTCAGCAATGTCACTACAAGCTGTAGCTGCCCGATTCTCCTGTACCTGGCAGGGCTTTTCCCCCCTCCCCCATGGGTCTGTGCACCCTCTCCTCCAGCACTGCCTCAGGGTGGGGGCATTACCACCTTTGGAGGGCTCCCCAGGCTGGTCCCCACCACAATCTCGTCACTGTCTGTGGTCTGTGCATCGCTGCTGCTCTCCAGCGCTGGCTCACCGGCCTCCTCGGGGGCTGGCAGGAACAGAGTACTTGTTACTGGGAGGGGAATTAGAATGGACCTGCCCGCCCCCTGCCCTCCCACCCGGACCATGGGCCATGAAGAGTATGGCTGCAGCCTGCTTTGGGGCTGGCTGCAGTAAGAGCTGTCAGAGCTGCACCTACGCCAATCTCTAAGTTTGTTCTGCAGCTGGATGGCCATGTCTCCCTCCTCCACCACAGTGAGCCCCAGTCCACAGCTGGATGCCCCTGTCTATGGCTCTACATTGTGCCACCTCGGGATGGGTGAGTCTGACCTTTAGAGTCAGATCTGGCACAGTATGAGGGGCTGAGCAGGGCCCTAGGGTAGTCTGGCCAGTTGGCACTGACAGCTGGGTGCCCATGGGAGGCAGGAGCTGGTACCCATGTCCTCAGGAGCAGAGCCTACGTCCAGTGCAAGGGATTTGGGCTCCAAGCGCTGGGTCCTGGCAGAGGTTTCAGCGTCCTTAGCTGAGTGTTCTGCTTCCTCCTCGCCAGCCTGGGCCTCCTTCCCCTCCAGTGTCCCCTGCATAGACAAACCCCATCAGGCTCAGGGAACAGCTCACTGCCAGGGGAGCTCTGGCCCAGCCCCATTAATACTGCCCCCTCTTGGATGCTGGTTCAGTGTGGGGCACTAGGCAGCCTGCGGGCCAAATCCAGACTGCCAGACGCTCATGAACAGACCATTGTATCTTATTGCTGTTATTGTGATATGAAAACTGTTTCTCTGGAGTCCGGATCTTAACTGTACTTGCCCAAGAAATTTGGACCCTGACAAAAAAATAACTGACTACCCAGGGTGTGGCGTGAGCGTTGGGCAGGGGACTTGGGTTGGTGCACCCTCCCTGCCTGCTTCCTGCTCCCTTCTCCCCAGCTCTCACCTCAGCAGTATCTCCCACCGGAGCCACCTCTTCTCCCTCCTCCAGGGTGTAGCCACTGGATGCTGGCACTGGATTAGGCTGAGTCTGACTACTGGCTTCCCCAGTCCACCTTCCCCACTTTCCCCTGCATCCATCAGCCTTGACCGCCAAGATATGGAGCTTCTTCCTCTGGCCCTCAGGCTGCGATGGCGAGATGCTGGGAGCAAGCCGGGCCTGAGCAGGGTTCAGAACAGCACAGTCACACCAAAGCCTGGCAGCTTCCCCCCATTCCCACTAACCTGCTCCTTTTTCTATTGGGGTGCAGGAGTGGGAGCAGCACCCAGCAAGGCAAAGAGAGAGCGGGGGCTAGAAGCCAGGAGTTCTGACCCCCAGCCCTCCCTCACTGAACCCCTCACCAGGAAGGTGATATTGTATGGGGCAGGTGTGAATTCTGGCCTGCTGGGTCATTCTGTACCTGGTTGTGTAGTGCAGCCCTTTCTTCCTCAATCAGCTGCTCCAAGGGTCTCTCACGCTGGTGTTTCCTGGCCCAGGCTGCTTGGTGCAGGGCGGCCCCCGGGGGCAGGTACTGACGCTTCCACTCCAGGCTGAGGCTGATAGAGCCATTGGGGTGCCCAGCTGGGTCGGTGAGGACAAAATCTCCTGCAGAGTAGAGAAATGGAGGCGTAAGGGGGCACAGGGGGTGGGGCTCTGGGCACAAGGCACTGAGGCCAGGGGCAGGGGAACTGTGCCTAGCTGTGTGCCTCATGAGCAATAGAGGATCTGGGTCCAGTGGCTTTCACCTGTGATACAGTGCCCCTGTGCCAGAGGCAACAGGGGGATCTGTGCTTTGCCCAAGTAACTGCCTGGCTCTGTATCCTCATCATCAAAGATGTACACGCAGAGGCTCTCTAGACGCAGATAGCGGTTGAGTTCAGCTGTGGAGCGCATGGGGAAGGTCCGCAGGTCTCCAAAGTGTGGGTTGTTGCTGGAGGGGATGATGGGCGTGTCGTGGTCAGGGAAGGTGAAGAAGCGGTACATGGCATAGGGGCTGGGCTGGGTGTTGAACCAGCGACCCCGCAGGCCCGTGCAGCCTACAATCTGCACTTGCAGCTCATTCCACAGCCACTCAGCATCCAGGACCTAGAGGGGGAGACTGAGAAAGGCTGGTAACTGGGTGAGCAGAGGGCCTAGAGTGCATCCCATAGAAATCACGGCTTTGCCACATGGAAGGCTGTGACGCAGTAGGGAGCGGGGCAAACTGACCTGGGAATGTTGTCTAGTTTTACTGGGACTGTCTGCATGGGGGATGGAATAGCAGGGGGTGACTTTACTTGAGTAACAATACCTGAGCCGGGAGAGGGATGAGGCCAGGTAACACCTTCTGTCTGGGAAACTGGACAAAGGCTGGAGGAGGAGCCGGGGGACGGCTGGGTGAGACGGCTGGACGGGGTTTCAGTTTGGAGCGGTTGGGGGAAACGGAGGGAACCCCAAGGCTGGGGTCTAAGCTCCCTCCCCCCGAGGGACCTGACTGAGGAGTCCTGGTTGTACCTACAAGCTCTGTTTGGGACTATGTTCCTGTCGTCTAATAAACCCCCCGTTTTACTGGCTGGCTGAAAGTCACAGTAAATCGCAGGAAGTGAGTGCAGGGTCCAAACTCCCCCACACTCCATGACAAAGCCACTTTAGTGTCCAGAGTGCCTGAGGCTTCCCTTACAGGGATCCTGCTCTGACATGTGCCAGAGAGCTCTAGTGTGGAGCACATATCTCTATGAGGCCCTGTGGTTGTGTGCCACAATGGGGAGCCCCTTTTGTGGGGGCATATGTCCATACCGGGATCCTGTATCAGTGGGCATGGCCCTATAAGACTCCCCCTTTCTGGGGTGCATTTCCTTCAGTGTGAGTGTGTGTATTTACCCTCACATACTCCTCCCCCATGCACGCCCCTGCTTCCTCACCCCCTCCTTGTCCTGTTGCCTGCTCTGCTGGGTAGCTCTGGCCTGGGGCATGCAGGCTGACAAGTAGCCCAAGGCCTTGGTGCGCTCGCAGTGCAGCCGCATGGTCTGCTCCATGGGCAGGCACAACCTCATCCAATACTCCAGCATCCCGTAGTTCTCACCGCTCGGACCTAGAGGGTGTGGAGTGGGCAGGGGGGACATGCGGGGCGGGACACAAAGGCCGGGGGATAGGGATTGGGGGAGCGAGAAGGAATTAGGGCAGTAGGTAACAGGACATGAAGGCCACAGGGACATAAGAATGGTTAGAAACCTGGCATATTCCCCAAGCTGATGCCAGAAGGGCTGGGGCAGGGCGAGCCTTGGCCCCAGGGAGGGAAGATGAGCGTATACACTCCCGTGGCTGGAGAGCCTTTACTGTGCATGCAGCCGAGCTGTGGCCCTGACAAGGCCAGGCGCCCTGACTGAGCAGCTGCCATGGCAGAGGGCACAGGGAGCTCTTTGCTGTAGAGCATCACTGTGGAGAGGGAAAGCTCTTACCATGTAGCATCGCTGTGGCATGCATGCGCTCCCCGCTCCCCAGAACCTCCCGGAAGCGCAGCCAACAGGAAGCCAGAGTGCTGTGGTCAGTAGCCGTGGCCAGGTGCAGGTCTAGGCGGGCGGCAGCTCTCTGCAGGTACTGCAGGAAGAGGGGCTCAGCCTGTATCACATACTGAGACGTGAAGCTGTAGCGGGGCCGGGCCCCTCGCACCACCGGTGTGCAGTGTGTCTCGAAGTCATAGAAGGCATAGGTGCAGAAGGTGATGGGCTGGACTTCCCCCAGCAGCTGCAGTGCCTCCCCTGACAGCACTGCCCCTGCAATGTGCAGCTCAAACAGGTTCTCACCACGCCGCAGCACGGGGGCCTTGACCTCCTCCACATCCACATCACCCTCAGTCCACAGGAGTGGGAGCTGCCACGTCCCATAGGCCACATCCTTCAGCTGCTCTGGGGGAGGAGATGGGGCCTGTGAGGGGTGGGCATGTCCCCATCTTCTCCCCCCCTCTATCCCTAAGGCATAGCCTGTACAAATCCCCCTCCCCTATCCGTTCCTGACAGGAGTGACCCACTGCCTGTCTGCTGTCTTCCCCCCTCTTGCTACAAGCCCAGCATAGCCATCTGCCAGCCCAAGTGCTGTACAGAAAGCCAGCTGGTCTTGAGGGGCCAGTTCCCGCTCTGAACAGGGCCATGGGCATGCAGGGACCTGGCACAGCCTCTTGGGGCAGGGAACGCAAGCATAGGGTTACCATACATCCGGATTTTCCCGGACATGTCCGGCTTTTTGGGCTCCAAATCCCCGTCCAGGGGGAAAT